TCTTCGATCGGACGCTCCATTCGGTGGTCGAGGTCTGCACCGTGACTACTTCCAAGTGCTGACAAAGAATTTGGTAGATCTCGGCCGCCGAGTATGTCGAGACCAAGACGGCGCTTGGCGTCGGTGCCTTTGGTGTCGTCGTCCTTGGCAAGTACGAAGGGCAAAAGGTTGCCGTCAAGAAGTTCCGACGCGCCGATTATCTCAAGTCGTTCGAGGCCGAAGTCAACGCCCTCCTTGCGTAATACCCAGTGTGAGATCATGCATGGGCAACCACTGACGTAGGTGCCCGTCGCCGTACCTCGTGCGCCTGGTGGCTATTGCAGACCGCAACTCCAAGACGCCAGCGCTGCTCTTCGAGTACATGGACGGCGGCAGCCTTCGGACGCACCTCGACCAGAAGCGCACCAACAAGTCCACGGCAGCGCACGTGACGAACCTCCACGTGGCGTGGGTCGTTGCCAACGCCTTGCGAGACCTGCAGGCCAAGAATGTGATCCACCGCGACGTCAAGAGCGACAACGTCCTCTTGAGCTCGAGCGACGAGATCAAGCTCGCCGACCTCGGCTTGGCACGACCCGAGGCAACGAGTATGACAGTAGCGCCTGGTACACGGCTCTGGATGGCGCCCGAGATCCTGCAGGCGGATGGTGCTGGCTACAGCTTTCCCGCTGATATCTACGCTTTTGGCGTGCTTCTCACGGAGCTCGCCACGTGTCAACTGCCGTACTTTGACCAGGACGTCCAAGACCCGATCGCATTAGTGCGCGGTGTCATCAACGGCACTCTTCGCCCGACGCTGACGACCGAATGCGAGCCGTGGCTGAGACAACTAGCAGAAATGTGCCTGCGTGGTGACCCGAACGCACGCCCGACAGCCGCGACTATCGTCGAGAAGCTGAGCAATGAGATGGCGGCTGGTTCGCCACCAGCAACGAACGTAGTGCCTCTGTCATTGAAGTTCTGGGCTGCACAGGGCGCTACTTTTAGGTCGCGCAGACATACCTGCTCGCTGTGGCACAGGACGACGTCGACACGGTGGCGCGGCTGCTGACCCATGGCGTACCACTGGACTGGAAGCTGCCGGTATGTCACACCCTCAGCACCACCGTCTGAAGGCTCCATACTAGGGCGGCGCGTCACTGCTTTTGGCGGCAACAGCGGCGCGTGCCACCAAGACGGTGAAGCTCCTTCTGGACCGCGGCGCCAACGTCAATGACCCGAGCGTACGCTGCCCGTCAACATGTGTGAATACTAACGCGTTGCGCTCATTTAGGGTGGCCAAACGCCGCTGCACGCCGCAGTGACCAAGTATACCGAGGATCTCGTTCTCATTTTGATCGACGCGGGGGCGGACGTCGAAGCACGGGATCAAGTACGTCTGGGTGAATATAGATAGGTGCTTATTGATGTGACAGGATGGAAGAACTCCTCTGGCGTTTGCCCTGAAACAACAAGTCGAGCCATGCGTGACGGCGCTTCTCGCCACGGGGGCCAACGTCGAGCGTCTTGAGGAGGTATACGCTCCGCAGTTTGCACTCATTTATCAATGCCGTGCATAGGACGGATGGGAGCTACTCGACATGGCCAAACGGAGCGAGCGTCTCGCTGATCTTGTGCGGATGCTTCAGATCGCTGCGTCCCGGGTCCAAATCTTTCAATTTCCAGGACTATCAGAACTTATACTCGAATTGTAGGAAGAAAACGTTGACAAGCCCGAGATCCTTTGCGTTCAATGCGGCAACTGGCACGCCGTTGACGCCGTACTATGTTCATGTGACCACAACGCTTCGCTGACGGACCGCATGGTCGCGGTGGTCCGGCGCTTGATGCGGCTGCACCATCGCGGCTACCCCGTCGACTGGATGCGAATTTGCATTTCGAAGTCTTGCCACGAGTCGACAATGACAATCGTCGAGATGATCTGCCCCGAGTGCGGCACGGCGTCGCAGAAGAGTGAGCTCCAGATGCTAAACTTTCGTCTCAAGAATGCTCTGAAACAACCGATGGTACACGTCGTTAAAGCTGAAACAGAAGTCTGAGTCGCCAACTTGTAGAATGCGCAAGAAGTACCACGCATCCCGCGTCGCATCCGGCGCTGGTTGGCCAGCCTCCGTGACCCGCCGCCGCCTACGCCGCTGCCAGCTGCACCCTCGTCGAATAATATCAGGCAAAGTCGCCCCGAGCGACGCATGCGGAGCCAACCGGCAGAAGACCGAGCACGCGATATGGCGTTTCTGGCACTGCTCACTTCTCGCCCGATGCAACAGGTCATGGTTCCCCGACCCTGAGCACGCTGACTCTCTATTGTAGGACGGTCCGACGCCGTGGGCAACCGCTGGGGTGTTTGGCCGGGGCAACTTGGCTCGCGACTTGTACGCAAGCATGTCGGAGCCCGTACGGAAGGTAGC